TCACCTGACCTGCCCGAGCCCGCCCTGACGGGTGGGGCAGCCGCACCGCCCACTCACGCTCCCCTGGCTGCCTGGGGACATGGCTGTCCCCTCTGTCCTACCCCTCTCCCACATCTCTGTGTGGCCCTGACCGCTGGGGAACAGAGGTGGCTGCCCCCCGGCATGGCTGGCACTGGGGTCCCTGACCACAGTGCTCGGAGGAGAAGCAGACCTGGGCCGTAGGTGTATTTTGGGGTGCAACTGCAAAAGTCTATTTAAGAGGGCTTTTTCCCCCCCCTTTTTCAGATGTGGCAGCCTTTTAAAGAGGTGGAAAAGCGGGGGGGGATGCGAGTGGGGCCAGGGAGCGGGGCAGAGCACCATGCTGGCCACAAGCCGCGGTCCGTCGGCTGCAGCCGGCTGCTAGCCAGCCCTCTCCCAATCCACTTACAGAGCAGCAGTGGCAGCTCAGCGACTCCTGAAAAGCAGGAGGTGGGGACCCTGTTTACAGCTGGGAAGATGACAGAGCGATTTGCCCGAGGCCGCCCAGCAGGCTGGTGTCAGAGCTGGGAATAAAACAGCCCTACTCCCAATCTCTGGCTGGGAGCGTGGATAAATACCCCTGGCTCGACACACGTGTCCCAGCTGAGAGACTAGGGGCTGTAATGTTAAATTATGATTTTTGCGTGGTATGCAATAGTTGCAATACTTGCTAGGGGCCCTAATCAAGATCCAGGCCCTACTGCAGTTTGCACTGCGTACATGAAGGATAGAAAGCCGTGCTTCCCCCTTGCAGCCCAGGGACGGGGCTGGCGGGGATGAGCACGGAAACGGGGATAAAGGCAAGGCAGTGGTGAAATACAAACATTCAGAGGCATTTGCAGTGCTTTACCCATGTGATTAGCCCTAAGTGCTCACATGCACAAAAAGCTGTAGGGACAGAGCTGCTGGAGCTGCTCTTTGTCTCCTCTCTACAAGCGATCACCTGTGTGCAGAGTGAGTTAGCTTAAAAATCCAAGGATGAGGTGGGGCACTGCACCTTATCCTCTACTGTTCCTTTCCATTAGGTAGAAGGGAGAAGTTTAGTATTCCAGACTGTCATCGATAGCTTTTCCTAGCATGAAATTCACTTAAAATTTGAAATTGCACTTTGCAGAGGTCTACTCCTCTGCCTATCAAGTCTCCTTTAAAAATGAATTTCTGTATAGGTTCTTTTAGCTTGATTTCCAATGGAAATGAGGCTTACGTGGTCACGGTGTCTGCATCTGTCTGCCTGTCTGTCCATCTCTCTAATAACTTTTGAACCCACCGGCTGATTTTGAACAAGTTTGGCAGAAGTGTAATTACATCCCTACAGATTTTCTGAAAATAAATGGCCTGATAGCAAACAGAGACCCTATCGCAGTCCCCGACAGAGAAAGTTACAACGTAGGTTCACGCCCTATTAGGTTTCAGATATTCCATAAAAGTGAAAACACTAATAAGTGCCTGATCTATATGAAAAGCTTCAAATGAAGTTTATGCCATCTTAGACACCCTAGTCAATCAACCACAATATACGAATACACAGGAGATGTGGCTTTGTTAGTTCCAGTGCTCACTAAACTACTTGTGTTGTTTTTTTTTTTTTTTCCTGCACTAGCGGCTGCCGTCAGCTCTGCTATTTCATGTGCGGCTAAACAAAATCTCTTTAATCCTAGGTGCTCTATTCATTCATTGCTGCACAATGTAATCCTTTGTGTTCAACTAAGGCTCCCACATGAAAGCAACAGGAGGTTCGCAAATATATGTTTAGTTTCATATTTAAAAGCAAGCAAACATTTCCCACAGCCAAGTAAAAGCAGCCGAGATTTTTCAGTTTGCTGTGATGAAATGTTCAGCCCCCATCTCTCACTTTAAAAGATAAAGTGTTGTCTGGGTGCTGATATGATAAATAGGGGCAAGGGGCTGTGCAAAAGCTGAGAGAGACCCTTTCCCAATGCATGTGTCCCGTCCCCAGCTCGCCGTTCTCGCAGCAATACGTTCCAACCAAGCGTATTTCCTATAGGGAGTTTTTATAAGGTCTGATGATTCCGTCGCTGTTGATATACCCCGACCCTCGGCCGACAGCCTCACCTCAAAGACTCGTAAAAAGGGCTGTGCAAACGGACTGCCCTCTCCGTCACAGAGCTAACCCAACCCTTCGGGACGGGAGGAGAAGAAACCGTGGCAGGCAGGGTCGAGGGAAATACTTGTGCCTGGCACTGCCCCTCTGGGATCGAGACGTGAGTTCCAGTTTCCACTCTAGAAGAGGGTCATCATCGTTTCAGCTCAGGTTTTCCTCCCTGCCCTTAGCGCTGGCTCAAGAGAAAGAAGAAAGGGGAAGCGTGCTTTTGAAGCTGCAAATCCACGTAGAACTACACTATCGGTCCTTCGATTTATTTTGTTCCTGGGGATTGCTCACTGGAACGGGTTGCGTGTGCGTAGGCAGGGTTGGGTCTCTTTGCTTTTCACCTTTCTTTGGATGTCGTCCCAGCCAAGTCCTAGTTAAGGTCTTGCTTACTTGTCTGGTCTGGTTCCAAAATGTTTTCCAAAGGATGTAAACTAACCTATCGGGAAATATTACCTCTTATTGTACCGCTCCCCCAACCCCATTACAATGTTTTACATCTCCTGCCTTCAAAACACCTCCCACGTATATTCTGGTTACTTGGGCCTAATTGCTTCACTTTCCTTTGAGAGGCAGTGCAGGTTGTGCATTAGCTAAAGATATGACACCTTATATTTAGCATTAATTGTAACTCCGCTTGTCCTGAGCGCACATCTCTCTTGCCAGTCCTTCCTGTGCAATTTCAGTCCCTAAATAGCCCACCTCATGATATATTCTTTGAGAAATTTCCCAGCAGTGTTTTTCTTGTGACATAAACTGCTACAAGCTCTCATTATAAACCTTTGGGTGCTCAGCTCTTTAGGAATAAAATTCTGATGCCTTCCCCCTCACCTACATCGTATTTCTCCCAAAAGCAGCCAGCATCTACGTGCAAAATAGGAGTAAAAGGAGGGGCAGATATTTAAAAGAAAGTATCATTTTGTGATAAAGTGTTTGAGAGCCATATAGTAGAAGCCTTTTTTTGAGGGGTGGTATCATCCAAAACAAAACATGATTTACCATAATGTCTGTGATCAGCCATACCACCTTTTGGGTTTTTTGCTTTGTTTTGTTTTGTTTTCTCCATAAAAAGCAACAACTGGTTAAAAACGAGTTTTGCAAAGAAAACAGGATGGATTAAGGGATGGAGGATACACGAGAGTGTTTTCCACTTCTCAGTGTCTCAGCCTGAGGTGATGGGGCTTTGCCGTCTTGGAAGGGTAAATAAATAGGTGCTTGTGCCATGGTTGTTATTAAACACTACACTCCTTCCCTGTGCTGGCTGGCACCACAGCAAGACTTGCAAAGGCTTGGTGAAGATTGCATCTTCTTGACTCTCTTCTCGGCAGCCGGGATCCAGGAGTTTGTGGGAAGGCAATTCCGTGCGCCGCAAGCCGCGCTCGGCTTGTCCCGACTCTGAGATTTCATTGGCAAGGGCTGCCAACCCAGCGCAGGAACGGGTGCATTAGTCACGTCCCGGTACTGGCAGAGCTAAAAAGCCTGAAACAAGGTGATTTCAGGGTGGAGAGGAAGAAGCATTTGCCTTCACCCTTCTCCCTCCAGCGACCCAAAGAGCTGCAGGCGGTGGAAGGTAGGTGTGTCACTTCTGCAGCAGCAGCGACAGACTGCAATCCGGAGGATGAAGAAACGCTTTCAGATGCTTCCTTTCTGTCATATTACACTGCCTCAGGCAGAAAACCTAGCTGCTGAATTGCCGCAACTTAGTCAAGTGCTTCTGGCCTCCCACTCGGTTTTTCAGCTGTTGTTTCCATGTGACAGTAAATAGGTAAGAGGGTCCTCTGAAGGGAGCAGAAAGGAACGACTCTGTTCACCGGCTCATTTCTTGCAGCAAGGTATTTGCTGACTGAGCACGCACGGAAAGGTCTTTCCCTGTTTTCCTTGGCTGCTCCCATTCACAGGGCAACAGTTTGAGGCACTTTCCTGTAAGAAATAGTGCTGATCCAGGTCTCTTGCGTAATCTTTCAACTCCCATATAGGCAAGGACTCAAAAAAGGACGTCTGTAGAGTCCCTTTGCACATGAGCCAAACCCTGAATGGAAGCTCTCGCTACAGGAAACAGCGAGGAGCAAGCAATGTAGTCTCTGAATAGGATGCTTAATTGCAGCTATAATTATGTAGCTCTCAAATCACAGTGTGCTTAATAGACTAAGGAACACCAGGAATTGGGGTGCTGATAAGTTAAGGCAGCAATCGATCTACAGCATCGTGTACTCACCTATGTGCTGGTCACCTGTTGGTGTGCATTGCTACCGACCTTTTGGAGAAGAAAATGCTCAGGTGAGAGTTGATGGGCAGAGGAGTGGAGCACAGAGGGAAGGCTGGGGTGGGCGTCCCAGGCAGAAGGATAAGGGATGAGGAGCGGACTGGCAGGAAGAAATTAATGGGAGACTCTTGATATGGTGGAGCGGGCCACCAGCCAACGTAGCAAGATGAGGTGGGAGATGGAGTTATGTGCTGATGACAAGGATGAGACGACCCAATGCTATGTGGTGGCTAAGAGGGAGTCAGTGGAGGGGATGCGAGAGAGACATGATGTGTCCAAGAGTGAACAAATTCATTTGAAAAACTGCATAATCAGGGGAAGAAAAGGAGAGCAGTGGGAAGCAGAGATGAGGCTCTGGTATCCACAAAGTTTTAGCCATCCTGGAAGATGGCTAAAAAAACCAAACCAAACCAAAAAAACCCACATGGCAAAATAGGAAGCCCTGGTTTGTTGGTTTTTTTTTCATAAGGAG